TTATTCTCCTTGAGATTTTCCAGACTAAGACTTGCTGCACTTGATTGAGAGAAGGCTTTACTGTAAGGAGCTGAATTTTTGGGGTAGCATACTTATCTTTTTAAGTTCTTTCAATAAATCTGTTGCTGGTACAGTGTCTTGAGATGTAAACAGCTTCTTTTTCAGAGCAACCTTCACACTGGTATCCATTTTATTAAACGGGTGTGGTTTACCAGTTTACCTTGTTCTAAAAATAGTAAACTCATTAAGCTATGCAGGCTACAGTGATTTTAATTAAATGCGTGGGTGTTGCGCGCTCCTACCCTTTCCTTTTTCTTTTATGGGCTCCTGTTATCACTGACTGGACCTTTTCTTTTTGCTAGTGTTTAGCTTAAGTTAATGATACCACTTGGTAGGTGTGTTCCAATAGGGAGGGACCGGGATGATACTAATGGGGAGTAAACATTAAACAATCCAAGAGAGTAACCAAAAGCCCTGCCTGAGAACATTCAACCTGGTATAAAAACCACTAAAGGAAGTTATGATAACTGTTATAACAAAAAATGCATTATGTACATAATACCAAGTATTTCATGAATTTCCACAGTATTTCTTTAGTCCATTTCTAATTTGTTCCTTTTCTCTTCTCTCCTCTTGTAGTTCCCTTTCCTTTTCTTCCAGTAGACATCTCAGATGGTCTATTTCTCTTCTATCTTCAGATTGAACAGGTTGAGGTGGTTCCCATTCTCTTCTCCTTTCTTGTAGTCATTTCTCTTGATACTGGTCCAGAGGTATTACACTAGTATAGACCAATCATTATCACTAGTATATCCTATAAAAATACTCTAAAGGCTAATATATTTATTATATTTATTGTATCAATGAAAGCATCCCCAAATGATGTTTTTTGGAAAATTAGACTACAAAAAATCACACGACAATAATAATAATAATAATAATAATAATAATAATAATAATAAATAATAATACTAGAGGAACTTAAGGCTATAAGGGTTTCACCCTCACCACACTGTACAAACAAATGCACACCTAATGTACTTACAATGTAATACTTCACTTAATGTACTCACCAGTTCCTTCCATGAAACTACTTGCTGGCTTCACCTAATGTACTTACCATTATCCAGCAATCGTGAGAAACCCAACCAAGACTAGTAGGTGTG